ATATATTAAGAATAGCATAATTAACCCTAATGGCTTATAAGGGACACAAGGGATATAAGGATTTATTCACCCAAAATGCTTGTTGTAAGAATGTATTATCATTAATGATATATTAAGAATAGCATAATTAACCCTAATGGCTTATAAGGGACACAAGGGATATAAGGATTTTTTTTGAGTGTAAAAAGTATTTTTTTATTGCGAATCCCAGGATCCCAGAATCTCAGAAACGTACGTTAGGCTTATTTACATAATCCCATGAGAATGTTACATTAAACTTTGCAGCTCATGTATTGAGTCGTTATCTTCTCGCGCGTAGGGCAAGAGTCTAAGCTTCTGTGGACACCAGACTGCATTTACTGCAATAGGTAAGATATATTCGGTTGAAAATGTGCAACCTACAATCTACCACCTACAACCTACCACACACCACCTACACCCTACCACCTACGACCTACGACCTACGACCTACAACCTAAAACCTACGACCTACAACCTACCACCTACCACCTACAGCCTACAGCCTACCACCTACAACCTACAACCTACGACCTACAACCTACCACCTACCACCTACGACCTACAGCCTACAACAATATTCGTCAAAAAAAATCATTAGGGCTTTTTTCGGGTGGCATTTTGTTTCACAAAATATTGTGAGCTGCCGACAGGAAGTCTTTAAATGTTCAACAACAACAATAGATTGAAAAGAACAACTTGAAAGTGCCGTTTTTATCTTTTTAAGGTCTTCTTGTCAACGTGCTTTCTGTATTTTTCCTTCTTTTGCCGATATTTGTATTTCATCTGCTATCCAAGATAAGAACTGCCGATGAAAACTCTTCACGGATTCTAAACGTAATCGTCGACATTCTGTAAGTATAGAAAAACATTCGGTAGAACCATAAGTTGCCGCTGAGCAAAAAGAATGGCCAACGTGACCGTTTTCGGGTGCCTTTGTGCCCGGCATGATACGCTATAAAGGGACAGCCCTTTTTAACAAGGAGGATTTTGGGAAAATATCAATCGATCGGTATTGCACCCATTTTAATTGTTTTATTAAGTTTACTAGTCCAGTTGATCGATTGCTTGCTTCATCAGTAGGTTGTTGGTTACATTGTATGGTTGATTAGCTGGAGTTTCAGAAGCCCTTTAGCTACAGTGCTTCTCGGCTGTTCTTGCACGCTTTGCTTGTGGACCACAGAAAAAAGGGAAGCATAAAAAACAATGACAAATGTCAATGTCAATGACAATGACGATGGCATTTGCGGTGAGAGACAGTGGCAATGGCAGTGGCAGTGTAAGGCAGGGGCATGGACAGAGGCAGGGGCGGCAGCGGTAATGGTCGTGGTAGCGGTAACGGCAACATTTTGTTATGTATAACAAGTACGAACAACAGGTACGCATAAAGTGAGGATGTTGCATGATGATATCTTGTCTAGCTGACATTTTTGTTCGTACTTTGTGTTGTAGCTCATTATGAGCATGTATACGTACTTTTCAAGTAATATAACTAGGGGAAAACCTAGTTTGTATTAATTCAGTGTGGCGTTTCTATCTTATTCACTTATTAATATATAATAATCTACTACTCTTCTCACAGGCCACTCATCGTCACTCCCATATTTACTTCGATAGCGGTTATTCTTTTATCGCATTTCGTATTCAAAGACCACTCCTACCCAGATATGTCGATTACCGTCAACAACAGGTAAGGTTTTAATTTGTGACTTTTTAATTGTTTTGGGGGGGGGGGGGGGGGGATGATCATTTCAATGGCAATGGCCATGAATTTTCACTTCTAATTACTCCGTTTTTTGGAAGAGTATCAGTACATGATTTTATTTTATTTCAGGCGTCTGTTTGGAATCATGTCGTATTTCTTCTTCTTCTTCAACATATTTGTCGGCTTATGGTCGGGCTTGCTTCGTGTTGTGAAAGGAGCAGTAATTGTATTGGTTTTTCTGCCTCGAGTAGATCGTACCATTATGATGAGGGGATATCGGAGATTCGACAAAGGTATATATATATGTATATATATATATATATATATATACATAACTATTGTATATTAATGGGTAAATAAATGTCTATCACAAACTGCCTTCAATTTAAGGTTGCGTGATCCAAGCCCGCAGGGATGTATTACGTCACCATATCAGATCATATAAAAAGCCGGATTATTCAGATCAGAATCAGTTATCGGAATCAAACGCTTGGTCTTTCGACAGGGTGAGAGCCGCTGAGATTCGCCCCCCAACTACCGCACACCAGCACACAGTCCTAGGCCAGCGCCTACCTGCTTCTAACCACCTACGGGGTACCCCTATGGCTTAGTATAGCATTGCGTGTAGAATCTCTGGTAGAAGTATATTACTACTTCGTTTGAAAATATCATTTGATTGCAAAGTGCTTGATGTTCTGTGTGTAATATTTAAATTGTCTTTCTTAGCTTACATGGCCTACATTGGATTCCTCAGTGTACTTGTGGCTTTCAAACACCCTGTTATGCTATGTTTCTGTCAGTTGCTACTCGAAGGAGTTCGCAGAAGAGAAGCAGGTATCCCTACAGCTTTGTTTTTTGCCTTTAGCCGACTGGTTAGATGGTAATATTGTATAGATAGCTACCAATAATAGCTACATTTTCGAGTTCTCTTGGCTCAGACTTAACCCGAGGTGTACGAAAAAATATCCAGCCATTCAAACAAAACCTGTGAAAATTTAATCAACTCGTATTGCTCTGTAGCACATACATTCCTTCTTAAGAAATAAGGCTAAGACTGAGCAGGCAAACTCGAAAGGGGGATATTGCTGGTATTACTGGTTGCCTCACCTAGTTGTTTGGCTGAATACGTCGAATTGTGTCATGGGGTACCTTTGTCATCCATAATGTGTTTCCAGGGAATTTCATTTCAATTTTCCAGAATTCCCCGTTGAAATTTGCTTCTTTGGTCCAAACTATAAAAGGCACCCACTGATTATTTTTAATTGACGAAAGCAAAAGACCCAAATTTCTCCATCCCTGCAACTGAGTTTACGTTCTAACATTGACAACTACTATAATAAACTCGTTACGCCTCCTTTTTTCATTCAATCTTAACCCCTCTAGGATATCTAATACAAAAATGTTTGAAACTTTACTTTTAATACATTCTTTGATCTATTTCGATTTTTTCTTCAGGTCAAACGACCATCGCTAGCAGGCCTCGTGTTTCTGGCAAAGCTTTGAACCGCTGGTTTCTTGTAGTGCTGCTCATGCACAACCCAAGCCTTGTGCGTCATCGTAAACAAGGTGTCCGTCCTCGTGTACAGTTGCCTTCCACAAGTGACGTAAAGGTTGAGGTGTCTCCAATTGATTTGGAAGATACATTTCCACCAGCAGAGCGTTTGAAGAGTCTGGATGTCTACTAGTCCTCATTTATAGGATAGCATTTACGGTGAACGTAAAAAATATACGTCATATTCATATAAATGTAATACTTAGTGTAATATACAACAACAAAAAAAAAAAAAAAAAAAAAAAAAAAAAAAAA